ACATGGTAAAAATCGTCATTGAAGTGTAACAGCTCCAATAAAAGGTCATCTGATGATTCAACAAAGTTTACTTATTCGTAGATCTAGTCTTGCTGATAATTTTTGCTTATTTAAGTTTCTGTCTATCTATTTTTTTTTTAAGATATAAGGCAAAAAGGTAAAACATTTGTAAATCGTCAATAAAGGGCAATATCTTCAAAATGTAGTCATCTGACGATATCAATTATTTTAACTTATTTGTAGATGTTGTCTTGCTGATCATTTTTGCTGTTAAAGTTTTCTCTATCTATTGTGATTTTCAAGATAAAATGCAAAAAAGGAAACAAAACAAGAATGTGTCCATAGTACACGAATGCCCCATTTTCTATGTTCTGTGGACCGTGAAATTGGGGTCAAAACTCTAATTTGGCATTAGAATTCGAAAGATCATATGATAGGGAAAATGTGTACTACATGTAAGTTTCAAGTTGATTGGACTTCAACTTCATCAAAAATTACCTTGACCAAAAATTTTAACCTGTAGCGGGACTGACGAACGAACGGACGGACGGACAAACGGACGAACGAACGGACGCACAGACCGAAAAACATAATGCCTCGTGGGGGGCATAAAAATTGATAAACATTCGTCATTAAATGGAAATAACTCCTATAAGAAGTCGTCCGCCAGATTTGTGGTAAACGGACAATAGGTAGATCTCATGATTCAGAACATTTCTGCTTCGGGCAGATTTTCTCTATTTAAAGCAGTTTTCAAGATAATAGACAAAACTTGCATTTTACCCCTATAATCTATTTTTTAGTGGTTAGAAAATACATAAAATAACATCATTACAAACTTAATCCCAATTTTATATTCTATTTTTACAAATTTATCTGTGACGTCACTTTTTGTGGCGTTGATATATTCGTGTGACTCACAGTTCATAATTCTATTGTGGTGTAAATGAGAGGTGTCTGTTGTTATTCTATGGTTTACATGTTGTCATGTACTATTTTATTATTTATTTATGTATGTATCTTTCCTGAGTGTTCTTGCGTTTAGTTGTAATGTATTCCTGTGACGAAATGTTGTCATTTTAGCGGTATTTTTAACATTGCAATATAAGCGGGAGGTTTGGCAAGCCATAAAACCAGGTTCAACCCATAATTTTTTCTTAAAATGTCCATGATGTCCTGTACCAAGTCAGGAATATGGCATTTGTTATCAAATAGTCCATTTCTATATATGTTGGCTTTTGTTTTTGTAGCAGTTCAGTATTTTTGCCGTTCCGTTGTTTTCCTCTTATAGTTGATGTGTTTCCCTCGGTTTTGGTTTGTGACCCGGATTGTTTCAGTTAAATCGATTTATGACTATTGAACAGCGGTATACTACTATTTCCTGTGTTTAGCCATGTCGGCCACGTTGGTTGGCAGGCGGGTTTATCAGACACACTTTTTTAACAAGACACCCTAATAATGATTGTGGCCAAGTTTGGTTAAATTTGGGCTGTTAGTTTCAGAGGAGAAGATTTCTGTAAATGTTAACGACGACGGCAGACGACGACGGACGACGGACACTAAGTGATGAGAAAGATTCAATTGTCCCTTTGTATCTAAGACTAAATATCAATCAGTACACATATAAAACAATGAATTTAGTGTAAAGACGTCATTAACAGTAAAAGAAAAACATGTGCAATTCCAATATATAGGTATCGACAGATTGTAGTGCCGTGAATATGCATATATGTTTAACAATAATATTTATTACGGTATAATTTACAGATAACAAAATCAATATTTATACCAATGAAAACAATATTCAAAGATCTAATTACAGTGTTGAATAAGTTTATTTAAAGGATTGATAAGTTTACCCGGATCTTATCTAAATTTCCGGCTCGGTAAACAACATTCCCGTAAAAATTAGGATGTGCTATACCGTTTGAAATAAGTTTGTGGTAACGAAATTCCTGACTTTATAATTTGCTAGTAATACATAGATTAAGCTCATTGAAATCAAAAACGTCATTACAGACACGTTCATAGCTAACGAGTTGTGAAATATAAACACCGTAAGGCGGTGCCAAAGGAACATTACCGTCAAAAAAAAGGAAAATTAACAATAGGGAAACAAAAATCGTCGCTTTTGTCGTAAATTTTTGTGTAGAGTTTCTCGTGTAAAACTGAAAAATCTCAAGTTAGAAAAGAACGTTATTGCTGTTAATATTTGATTTATCTAAATCCTCTGGTAAATTTAGGCAGTATATTTAGAGAATTCTTGATTATTTAACGAAAAAATATCATCAAGATAACGGTAAGTGTTGTTGAATTCATCAATTAAACATGTTTACATTGAACATGTTTTATATACAAAATACATATACTCGACGCAATGTGTTTTTGGCAAAATTGAGAATATTAAAAATACTTTTTGACAATTGGTCAAATACTATAATTCGAAGCAACAGTAGATCATCGATGTTCAATCTCATAAACTTATTTAGGAGATAGAAAGAAAAAATGAAAGAATCGCATGAACTCCAAAAAGACACAAAACAAGAACGATACCTGGTGTGTCGACATGGTATGCGTTTACTGCTATACATGTATCACCTGCCATGCAAATGCAAACTCAGCACACATGGCACAATCGGGATGGCACACAAACGGTAAATTTGCAGATCAGACGACTATTTTGATATTTAAAGATCTAATGAACGCCACAAATTGTAACCATGCCCGAGCGTTACGTATTTTAAAATTGATATGTGTAAATGGCGTACGATGGGGCAAAGGTTATGTTACTGTTGAGAAACGGGAAGTTGACGATTGGAAAGTTTTCATGTTTGTCCAACTTTGTCATTATAGAGGAAAAGATGAAGATTTGAAGCAGACCTTCTTCTATCTTTAGAAGTATATCATTATTCTCAAGTTCTCTGGGATAATTGAAAAACACGAACTCATTGAAATATGGGTTATTGAGTTATAAGACATTATCAATATACCAGAATGTGAAATTGAAGAACTATGCAAGATGCTAATCTCTTTTTGTACTTGCGACGATTATGAATGAATATGCGCCTAAGCATCATCTTAATCGTTTGATCAACCTGACGGAGTCTAGTCTCAGTTCATCTCCATATTACTCAACTGAAAGTATCATTTTTATCATGTAAGCAATGACGAACTATTCAGGAAGCAGATTTTCCCACTAGAGACAGTCCACTACAAGCAAAAGCCATCAAGTGGTAGTAAATAAAGGTTGATACGGTAACTTTTACGCATTTTGAACAGCATGTGTTTCTGAACTAAATGACACCACGTACGAATAAGATAGTCTCAAACGTTTGAAAGAAAAATCAAAATGCATTTAATATTTTAACTAAAAAGGCTTAACTAAAAAAAATGATCTGGTTACAGGATACCATTGACACTACGAATTGTTAAAAAGTTTTTAATTTTAATGTAACCACCCATCTTGTCACTCAAAATTTGAGTTCTAGTGATAAACATTTAATTTACCAAATTTAGATGTAATTGCTTTTTCCGGCGCAATGAGGTCATATATGAAGTCATGTAAGGAAATTATTAAAATATACTTCATCAAAATATAGTCATTCATTTAACAGAAATGAATGATATAATGCAGCTATATATTTTGCTCATTTTAATCTCAGTTTCTGGTAAGTTATTCATTCAATCATTTCATGTATAAAAATATAAACTTTTATTGATAATGACATACATTTCTCTAATATGCTTGCTGCTTTGCAGTGGGTTATTTGCCAAATTAGCAATGACTCATCAATTTTAAATGTTGACTTTTTTTCTTAAAACTGAAACAACAGTTATAACAGAGAAAAAGTAAGAGAGCATGGTGCAATCAAAATCCATAAATACATTAAGAACAAACAACACAGTTGTAAAAACAAAAAACGTAGTATTCGACATTTATCCCAACACAACGGGATCAATTTAGTTCTTGAAACAGGTAGGAAAATCTTGCTTCCGTGTTGTTAATGACAGATGAAAACTTGTGTTAAGGAGGACGGGATTATTGCTTATGATAACTGAAACATACTTGTGATGATCTCTGTAACACAGATATTCCAGAATATTCAAATTTCTCCAACAAAACGTCTTCAGCTTTACTATCGAACTACTGGAACAATAGCTTCAATATAAGCAGCGATTCTCAAAAACTTTCAAAATATCATAAAGGAAATGCAAACCATGGAGTACGGACCTCCTTAAGCTGGATATATATCCTCTATATATATATTCCGCAAGTTTATTGTTTTCTGTTTGGTAATAAATTATTAATAAGATCTATTTTGTTACATCTTGTGATCCGTTTATTTGGCAATCGCCAATGGCAGTCAGTAGGGTTTAAGAACATCAGTTGTTCGACCCGCTAGTCAAATGCGTTTTGTTACAATATACTTTTTCACTCATTTGGTCTTTTGGAAAATGTTGTTTGTGCTGTATTTAGACCCCTCTACCAAGAAATTAGTTTTACATGCACAGGTATAAAAATTGCGGTTTTTATCAAACGCAATCATAGGTTTGAACGTTGTTTTCAAATTAGACTTGTTTATATATATACATATATATGTATATAATAATTACGTCTGAACCAGTGACAACTCTACGATAGATTTTATCCATCGGATCACCAGTGATGGTGATACAAGGCTGAAAACACATTTTGTATAGATAATTCGTCTGAATAACAGCCAAACAATGTTAGATCTGTAAAATTGCGGAAGCAAATATTTGTTCTTCCCTGGCCGGGATTCGAACTCATATATATATATATATATATAGCTGCTGCTCAAATTTGACAGAACGGAAGTGATCCAACTCATTTTAGTTCTCAATAATTAAAAAAAACAGCAAATGTGAAATCATATTCACTGAAATCTGGACTCCTAAAGTAGGTAAATGTATTGGTTATTCAAATACATGTCGTTTTGGTTTAATAGAACATTATATTTTTATGTTTTTGTTGCTAGGATGTTCAGTCTTCATCGGATTCCCAGAAAGTAGCTGGGCAACTAGTTCAGATGTGTGCTCTCTTCCAGTGATAGAAAAGATAAACACCACTGTCATATCTAATAAATCATCAAATTACATGGATTATAAGAAAGCAGAAAAAGCTTGGACTGGAACAGTAATTAAATACACAAAATGGGCTGCGTTTATAGGTATATTCCGTATCTGAATTACACCAGTAGTGATTATTATCAAAAAAAATGCTGAACACAAAAATTAGTTTTGAAATCCGGAAAAATTAAACATTTGAGTTCAAATAAAAGAACATTTAGTTTAGTAGTTTCATTGCCTTATCAAATTTTTCTCTACAAATGAAGATGTGTAATTTAAATATCAAAAGTACTCACTCTGTTACTTCCACACCTGATTTTTTTGTTCCTGTACTAATATGTTTTTTTGTTGTTTTTTTTGCAACGGCAGTTTGAGATAAAACATAGTAAGAAACCAGTTGAATGACTTTAATGCTTTAATTGACAGGATGTGGCAGAAGTTTTTCACCTATGGATTCTGGGATAAGTGTAAAAACGACTGAAGATTGTTTAAGACATTGTACTGATGATGCATCTACTACCTACTTTATAATTAAGGTATTTTTTTTCAATTGCGCAAACGCAAGAAGGTAAAAATGTGTATGCGAGTATGAACAGGTAAGGATATGTTGTGCTGTACAGTATTTGTTTCATTCCTGTTATCCTTTTTATTTATTATTGACCAATCTGGTAAACTTTCAACCACGACTGTCATTATAAGTGACAGTTCCTTAATACAATTATTTTATCTAGTGAATATTGGAATCATATTTAATCAACTTATATGTCGTTTCATTGCTTAAATTTAAGAAAAATAATTCTCAAATCATGGATAGCTAGTTAAGAAGTACATTTGAAATGAAAATTAATCACTGTTTAAAATATGAGAAAAAATATGCAGATTACTTTTGGATAAATCGTAAATCTGTAGTCAATTTGACATTATAACTTCTTTCGTTTTTGTGAATAATTATTTTCTTTAACTCTTTAAAAGTGGTATCTGTTATCCATTGACCTATGGCTTTCCAATGTTTTTTTAATTTCTTTCTTTCACAACCAATAGTAATGCTTTTGAGGTTTTAAATTTAGACACTGAGAGAAGTTTTGTCTTCTCCATAGTATATATTATATTAATATTAATCTGTACTTTTTCAGAGCTCTAGATGCTACTGCCTTACTTATAAACCTGTAATTAACATAGGTGACATAAATGACTGCAGAACAAAATGTAGCAATGCCAGCTACACTCCTTGTAGTTCCGGTCGGTCAGCTCTGGTGTTTACATTTGTTGAAGGTAAACATTAATATTTTTGTCTTACTCTTTTTAATTTTTATCAATTTTACTCGACACTGAAAATCCACAACATAACTGAAAAGAAATTTAATAGCAATACTTTTTTTATTTGCAGATTTAAACATAGAGTCAACAAAACAGTATATAGAAAAAGAGTGTCTAACAACAACCAAAGACAAAAGCAAGTATTTGATCCGTGACTGCAATGCAACATATTTATTTGGATGTAAAAATACGTCATGTAAGTTTTTTTTAATATTTACCCGTGGTAATATAGATCTCATGTATTCAAGTATTAAATGAGTATAGGCTTTCAAATTTTTGTGAATGTTTCTGATGAAAGTAAATCAAAAAAATCGTTCGGACGCAGCGAGTCTACTGCTTGTGATATCATTACATCATTAGTCAGTGCTTCGGTACTGACATGATTTATACTTTTCTTCCCAGTTTATATATTTCGAAATTATTAAGAAACTAAGGTTCAAACTCCCTTAAGCAAGGTTGAATTTAATTGAATTTAGCAATACTTTGTATGCCCCTTTCGCCATATAGCTCCTCGTGTAAGCAGGTATTTAAGCAGTTTTGTCCATCAAGTATTTGGTTTTGAGAGATCCTGATGAAGGTATTTAAAAAAAAAACTTTATATTGTGTTTATTTTTCCATCTACGAAAAGTAGCAAGATATTATCATAAGTTAAGTAATATGTAAAAGTAACAATTCCATGACAGATGTGTCATCATTTTCTTTGTGTGTGCATGAATAAGCGTAACATTTAAACTGGTCTTCACTGAAATGAGTAAAATATCTGTAAAAATCAGTGTACTGTAAGCAATAGACTTTTAAAGGCATGATACTTTCCTGTTTCCGCCCTAAAAACTATTAATTGTAAATTACATCATCGTATCATCATTTGTACGGGGTTGGTAATAAATATAAAAATACGATTTTATTCGGTTAAATTGGCTGATTATTAATTCATTGAATGTGCGTCTAATACTTTTATAATAATTATTGCAGCTGAGTTGATACCCAAGTCATGGTATGAATATCAAGAGTTTTGTTTGAAACAGGGAAGTTCCGTACTGTACAAAAGAAATACAATAGGAAACAAGGCTAAAGCAGGCATTTCTTATTGGACTCCGATTTTTAGGTCACATACCGTGGTTAATGGTAACTTTATTATATATCTTTTTATCTTGATTTGCATATTATCGTCAGATATATTATTTACGCTTTTTTTTTTGTCTGCTCTAATCTGTTCGTTTTATCACATGTTTAAGGATGCACTCTGAGCAGTTAAGTGAAATTGGTAAAATAACTTAAAGCACTTGGTGAGATTGGTCCCGTCATGCTGGTATAAAAAAACTTATTCCTTTTAATCTGATTTGATTGAACTATTCAAAACATTCTTGGGTATTTTTCTGTCAAGTATTTTTCAATGTTTGTTGGTGTTGCCATTAATTTCCAAACAACAAAAAATGCTTTACTCAGATTAATCTATTGTGGTATTTTAAATGATGATTGTAGTTGAGGTAATGCCAATGTTATTCAGAATGTGTATAAGAAACATATATAGATATAAGAAGATGTGGTATATCTTTACTTTATATTTCATTATTTTTTAAACATAAACTTTATTTGGGATAAATAAAAAGAAACATAAAAAATTAGATTGTTCAATATAAGACAGGAATTCGTATAATAATCATCTACTCCAAAGTTTTAAAAACATCTTTTGTATAAGAAAACAAAAACATCTCAGCTGCTCTTAAATCATATTCAGATCCTGCTCAAATGCTGGCATCCGTCCTGTTGCTCATGGCAAGGGAACATTCGGTTATTATAATTATATTTTATATTTACAGGAAAACACACAGGAAAAGAATTTTGTCTTGCCGTCTCAAATGTGGAATCGAAATATTTTATTGTTGAAAATTGTACATTTCAGTTTCCCTTCCTATGTTCAGGAGATCGTAAGTGTTAAGTTCTACTTTTTTATGTTTTGTGTCGTGTTTTGAAATTTCATTTAAAGCGAACAATTTGTGCAATTTTGCGTTATAATTTTGAATTTATGTTGTTCATTTGTAGGGACTACAGATTTAATTCATTAACTGTTTTTTCTAATTCTTAAAAAATGATAAAAATAAAAGTTTAATTTTCTCGTGAAATCATCAATTTACCATTCTAATACAATCATCTAATGATACCAGTAATAATGGATTTCAAGAAACGATCTAACAAGTCAACCCGACGTTAATAGCATACATGTGAGCTATGGAACCTAAGAATTGATAAAATTGTGTTTTATTTGGGAATAATGTTGCAAATGGCCAGTTAATATGCGTATGCTTTACGAATAAAATTATTTCAAAAATGTCTTCTATGAAATAACTTGGAAAATAATTTGCTAATTATGTTATTTATGATCTTGTGATTAATTGTCCTATAAGCTAAACCTTAATCTTTCGAGTTAATAAGGGACAGTTGAGAAATTCACAGCTGTGCTAGCGTAAAGTTTTTACGTACATATTTATGATGTATATCATAACTGTGTAGTGTTGGCAATGTATTAACACCATTGTAATGTAATGTATTATAACACTGAAATACATTTGAAAAGAAGAGATATCGGGAGATGAACAATAAACAAAATTCAATAAAACTGAAATTCTTACTGCAAATATTTATTACTGCTAGAAAAAATGACATAATTTTAATGCACACAACACGCGTTTCTGGACTAATCTTAATTAATTCAAAGAAGACCTAAAATATAACAACTACTTTACATGCGTTCGTATCAAGCTTAGATTAAGCACAATTACATATGAACTGAAAACTGACAGACATATGTATCAGTTCGTTTATGTAAGTACTCTTAAAGAAAAACGTGCTGACTATGCTTTATGTCGTAACATGATATGCCAAAAATATATAGAACAAGTAACACTGAAATTCAGAAATGATAACAGATGTATTTCCAAAATACTTTTTAAGACATACTTTGACAAATAAATTTGATGACACGTAAAACCACTTTGGATAATAATTTGATAAACAAAACTCTTTTAACTTTTAAAAAAATAAGAAGCATAAACCCTCAAGCCAAGCATTGTGGTATGTATATTTCAACTACATAATGTAAGAGATGAACTCTTTATAAATTGGAAAAAGGGTATTTGGAGGATTTATATGACAAAATGATCAAAGAAAATGATTTTCTAGTCGCAGTTTTCATTTTTTTAAGTTGTGTGTGAGATCTTCAACGACTAGTTGGAGATCTAACATTTTGTAGTAAGAACAAATTATTTGCCAGTACTGCTATCATATTCACCAATAAACATTACATTCAAGTCGCATATTTCAGGTTCTAGGCTAATTAATAAATTGGTTGATTAAATGTTGTTTTCTTGCCGTCCAGTTGCACTATTTTAGGCATATTTTAGACGAGTTATCAATAATTACATTACACTGGCTTGCAAAGTCTTTTTTCAAAGACTGAAAAAAGTAAACACAACAAAAGACATTTTAATGTAACCTCTGTTGTTAAAAATAATAATTTTATATCAGTAAAAAGTTTAAATTTTTTTTCTGAAAATACGGACTTTCCTCTCTCTGGCTTTCATCAGCAGTCATTGTGATCTGCAGTGTTAATACTGTATTTTTTTTTATCGTTATATGTATTCCATTGATATTTGAAATATCAAACAAAATGTAGGAAAAGAGAATAGCGTAGCTTGAACAAAATGGTTTTCCATTTTTAGGTTATAGAAATGTTTTTTTCTTGATAATCCAGAAAAAAATATATATATGACACCAAAACGTGCTGAACATATAATATCGATTAGAGTTGAAGAACTATATGCACAAAATATGAAAAATATGCTGTTTACGTCGCTGAGACAGCAAATCAACGACACAATATCTAACAAACATATCAATGTTTTTCAATAGACAGGTGTCTTTGTAATATGTACACCTTATTTAAGGGCTGTCAGAAGTGGTTTGATTGGTATCACATGTTTTTAATTCTTCTCTCAGTTGTTTCGAGTTTTATTTTTCCCTGGGTTAAAATATTTATGAAGCGTTTAATAATAGATACATCATTGCATAATCAAAAAAGTTCAATGTTCATATATATAGATATTCGCCTTACGTGACGAGGTAACACTACGACTATTGAAGTTATATTTTTATATAGCGAATGTGGTCGAGTGGTCCAGAACACTAGACATGGGGCTAAGCGATTGGTGCTGTATTGTATCAAAGGTGTGAGTTCAAATCCCGTTGAGGGACAAAAATTTGTCGGCATAAAAATCTAATTCTAACACTGTTGTGTTTGATTTTCAGACTTATATATATATTATTTCTAAACTATGGTAAAGCTTGGAGCTTTATGTTATCAAGTTTCTGTTATTTGCTCGATCGGTTCTAATTTGACAAATATTTTTTTCTATGAGAAAAAAGGGTTTTAAAATAAGATTTAAACTTTGCATATATTCATTAACAGTTGTTAGTTGAAACAAATAGTATAGAAAGCATTTAATATAGTTTTTTTTACATATTATATCTTCAAAAAATGTAAGTGATCCCACTTACAGGAAATGTTGATAGATAAAGTGTAAATGTAATGGTACTTATATTTTTAGAAATGAAGAATATGATCGATAACAGTAAATCAAATGAAAGGTATCCACGTTACATAACTCTTCCTTTACCTGGTAAGTTGTATCCTAAGTAAATATATAGGAAATACCCAGGGAACATAAAGAATCGAAATTGAAAATGATAAAAACAACATCAAATCTAAAATGGATAATTATCAAAAACACAAACGTAAGTCCGTACAACACTGCATAACAGAAAAATAAAAAAATCGAACAACATGATTTCAATATTTTGTTTTTGTAAAAACAGTTATAATCAGAAAAATCGCATAATTTCCATCATAAGATATATATTCCTTTTCATCGACTAATGTGTTTTAATATCCTTTTGGTATCTTTCGCCTCTGTCTCTCCTAGTAAATAACATGAAAATATAGATTTTCACAATTTTTCAGTTCAAATCCTCTTCATGATTTTTTTGTCTAAAACTTGTCAACAGCAAGGTATTTAGTGTGTCAAAAAGAAACATATATATTAAGGTTTGGGTTTAAGGTTCATTCATGTAATAATATAATCAGTTAAATGGTTTTCCTGGGATGTATTTGAATAGACGACTGCCATTGTCAGTATTTGGTACCTTGATCAGTCAAGTTGCTTTAAGGCAACTACCTTTATTTCTTTCTTTGATTTAAGTATAGCGTTTAATTTTGCTCACCCAACCGCCACTCAAAATTATTTTATAATTTAATCTAAACGAAGGACTGGTGCTCCTTCCTTCCATTTGGCCTGAAGATGCATGCTCCCCAAACTTGAATAAAATATTATATTCAGTTACACTTAAGAATATGCAAATGTCCTTATTCAAAAATAATTTTGTAACACGCGTTTAGTGTTTTTGTTCTACCTCGTCATTCTCAGTTTTAGAAATCTCGACAGTATTTTGTACATTTTTTCCAGTGTTTGTTGCTGGTGGAATTTTCATCTTACTACTTTTGATGATTATTATAGTTCTATTCTGCAAATTGTGAGTATATACTATTACCACAAAAGAGTCATGATTTATATTTTATGAGAGTTTTTTGTTTTAAAAAATAATAATAAACAAAAAAAGAAAAGGTCAGGCGACACCAAAATCATAACATATTGTAAAACAAGGCTCGCAATTAAAGTCGAATCCTCTAGGTTTCAGTTTAGACTACAAATCATGCTTAAACTTGACATGCATATTTTAGGGAAATGAAAAAAAAATAGGTGTTTGATTTAATGATTATAGTATGTTAGTGATTGTACACATAGCAGATAATCGGCTTATGTGGTCAAAGTGCGAATATATTTTAAAACTACTAGTTTTAACAATAAAGTATGCTTGAATGAATATCAATGTTATTCTTTGTGAAATGTGATAAAAAGGTGGTGTTTGAATTTGTGTTCATACTTAGTATACATTTTTACTGTTGATGGTGCATTTGTTAAATACTTTTATGTTCTGTACTGCTACTTGTATAAACCAAGTTTTGCCTTACACGTTTCAGTATTTGCAGCTTTTATTTAAAAAAAATTAATCCATTTAAGTTGCATTTATGAACATAATAATCAACATGTGGTCTTTATATTCAGGTTACTAAGCAAAGACACTGCACAAGTAAAGATTGATTTAAGTGTAGATAATACATGGATGTAGTGTTCTTCACTGTTAACTTCAGCATTTTTGTTTTTACGTGTTATTTTTTTATATCAGGAAAAAGAGAAGACATCCTTTATTAAATTTTTCGAATGAAACGAAAGATGGGTTTCCGCGCGCTTCACTACCACCCAATAAAGTAGGACTCCGCGATACTTACATTGATGCAAGTGACGCTCCTACAAGACCTGGAGCTGGAAGTTACAATGATGTTTATGATGATGTACACAAGGGCTTTATAATCAAAGAATAACTCATATGGCAACCTACCTTTCAGTATATTGATGAAAACAATTTACTGTACATATAATAATTTTGTATTTAGGATGTTTTCATTTTTCCAGTTATATTTACTAACCACAAAGACAAATGGATAGCTCATTAAAAAATTTAAATAATATTTTTTGTTGTTGTCATTATTAGCCGCCAGCAGCCGGTTGTACGAACGTGTCATTAGTCAAATGAGTCATTAAGTCTTCATTAGCCTAATGCATCATAAAGGCTTAATGACCCATTAGGCCAATGCCACGTTCGTACAAACGGCTGCTGATAATAACTAGGCAAATAGACAGGCTTTTTTTTTAAATGTACATGCGATGTAAATCATCAACCAAGAAACGTGAAACAACTTTTCTGTGGTTTTAACAACAACATCATACCGTTCTAAATATTTTCTTTGGCGTACCATAGCTTTATGTTTTCCAATCTTTTATCCAAATTAAATGAAGCATACCCACTACGTCATGGTATTCAATATTTTAAAAAGTATATAATATTATTTCGCTATAAGAACTTTTATTTACATTTTCCTGATTTTATATCTTATAGAAAGCAAATAAGTTAAAAAAAATCTTGATTTGTTCATATGTAATTGGGTTAAATAGAAATCAACTTACACTTTAATATAGGCAATTTTATTTTTTAAATGAAAGATAGAAAGAAATGTTGTTATTATAATAACACCACTTGATTTCTGGACTAGGAATACATAAGATGTCGAGTAAACTTCAATGAGACAGCAACGATATCCGTAAGTCATCTTTATGGCTACATACAGTCTTCAACAAGAGAGGTGTATAATTAACTTTTATCAAATATACATGATTTTAGAGAAAAAAAAACGACATTTTTTCTGTATATTTTTCTGATTTAAAAAAAAATCATCGGTGATTTTTTTCATAAATATTGGTACAAATAATCTTCAAACATAATCAAGCCAAATACCATTTTTAAAAAGAGGGGTCCATGTGCTCGTTTTCAAGTTACTGATTAAAATCAGTCGAAAATGTATCTTTTTCCCAATGTGTCACAGTTTGACGTTGGGAAAAATAACATTTTACGTTAGCGACTTCATTACCTCCTCTGTAATTGTATCGTATGTCCTTAAAAAAGAAATAAGACAACCACTGATGAGGCTCCTGACTTTGAACAGGCATATAAACATGTGGCTGGTAACATTAATTTTATGCTCCGCCACAAAGTGCATAAATATGGCTGCAGATCGAGTTGTGGCTCGTTCCACTGAACACTAAAACATGGAAAATAAGTACAAACTAGCAATCATGTCAGCAAAACTCCCAAAATGATACTCCGCCACATCATACATGAATAACAGTCTATGAATAACTAAGTGAACAACTCCCCCCCCTTTCCAAAAAAAAAACCCAAACAAAATTGAAGGTGCAATTTTATGGGTTATATTCTAAAAAGGTTTGAATAAATTCTAACTTTCTGGGGTTACGGAGGAGTTGTGGATACAAAATGGGTACCCTAGATGAACCAAGATTGCTTAAAGAAAGTCCAAAAGTTATCAGTGTCAAAAACAAAAATGAAGGTGCAAAATGGCATTATAAAGTAGAGATACTGAGAAAATTTCCATAAACTTTAGCGATTTATGAGGAAAGCGGATATAAATTTAAACTGTAGTCGTGTGGATATGACAAAAGTCTATGTCATGCCAAAATGAACCCAAAAAATTCTTCGAATGAAGAAATGAAATAGGTGTACCAGTTCATCTGTAAATAAGATTCTGTAACAGTTTACAAACGGAGGACCTCCTAACACTATATACCTCCCGCTTCAGAAAGCGGAAGGTGTAGGGTTTATAATAAAACAATATTAAACCGTATCAAACAATGATAGCTGTGACTGAAAGCAAGCTCATAGTACTTGATCTACTTAGAGTAGTTATGCAATCATACATGTTAATATCAATGGCTGTATTTCATACAGCAACGTCAAAAACAGTACAGAAAATAAAACGTTGCTAGAACTAACTGTACAGAATTTAAAATGTTATAAAATAATAGAAACAGTCAATCTGCAGATGCACTGATTCAACCAAAATAGTATGCTTTCATGTTCACGAATAACAGCTATAGGATCGTGAAACTTTAGTTCAGCAACATCAGAAAATATGTATAATTTTATTTAAACAAAATACACAAGGAAATAATACATATTTCCCCTGCTATAGATAGACATTACAATTACATCCTTTTCCTGTTTGAAATTCAAGTGATCATTGAATATCTTTCCGATTACACTTTGCAATGAAACTCGATCAGTCATGAAATATATTGAACAATAGGCTCAACAAGTCTATTCACTTCCCATATTTGACATTTCGTTGGCAGAAAAATAAATATGTCTGAAAACAAGTGCTAACATTTGTCCCCGATTTTAACTTGCCATGAGCAACATGATGGGTGCCAATGGTGGTAAAAGAGATTCGTGTGGATTTTACTTGAGTTTTTTATGTGGTATTTGGGGATATTTTTATTTCATGTCTTGGCTGTTCTATATGTAACTGTTATCCTTCTAATCTTATACATTCGGTCGTGAATTAATCATATTATTTGTACGTACCGATTATTAGTTAAAGTAATGTCTTTTTAAAGGGACTTTTAAAGGGACTCTCCGTTTTGAATTTTCCTTGGAATTCGGTATTTTTGTTTTTCTACTTTTTTTTTTGGTAAGATGAGTAACATTTGACAATTCGCTATGATGGAGTGCATAATCACCGGTATGAATTACCAATGGTTTTACCTTAACATCAGCGCAGAGGAGAAGAGACTGCTACCCTTCTGGAGTGCCTAAACTCATCCCTGATTTTTTTTGTCCGTCCATCTTTAATTTTCTTTGTAAAATATTGATTACTTTTTCGTGTTCCACCTTTAGGCTCGGGTGTTGTCTCTTTACTTGGCTTATTGTTTTCGATGTCAACGGCTTCTTATTTTTTCATTACAAAAAACAGAGGCAAACAAGTTAACAACTATTTTTCTTATTTGGTTCTTATTAAGAAGAAAGTTGTGACCGTTTGCTTTGGTTATTTCTATGAAACATGAGGTCCATAGTAGCTTGAAAGTGAAATTCAAGAGATATAAAAATAAGGAGATGTGGTATGATTGCCAATAAGACAACTCTCCACCAAAGTTCAAATAAAGCGGATGTAAGAAATTATAGGCAACCGTACGCCCTTCATCGATGAGAAAAATCCATACCGTATAGTTAGCTATAAACGGCCCCGACATGAAAAATATGAAACAATTCAATTGAGAAAACTAACGGCCTTTTTTTGCTAATGCAAGAATTTATTTTTGACATGAAAAAAACGAACAAATTGAATACATCTTGAAATATAGTTACTCGTGCTTTGGTTACAACTTATACTTAATCATATGTTCTCAATCTAATATTACAAAGTCGAATTCTTGAATAACTTTTATGCCCAGTCACAAAATCCTGCTTGGTTCCACACAAGACCCCGATTACAACGTTGTTTCATAGGTCTCCCCCTTACACATTGATAGAAAACATTGTTGTCACATGTATCTGCATAGAATGCTCCATGTTTACATGGCATTGGACCTAAAAATGAAATATAGTTTTACAAAATTTTGATACAATCTTAATCATTACTAAAATACATCCACGGGCATTAATTGATATTATGTTAATTTTCAAAAATGGCGTTGTCAATTAAATAAGAACAGAGGTACAAATAGTAATGATTTAATATACTAAAAGAAGTAACGTTAAATATTTACGGTTAGTACATTGTATTTATGCTTAATTATGGTGTCATTGACTCAATTTCTGCAGTTTTAAAATCTTTGTTACTTTCAGTTTCGATAGTGTGCGTATTTTGTTTAAGTTTTTTGTTTCTATATTTTTTATTTATGATCTTTTTGCTAATGCAAGAAGTTAACTGTGAATGCTCAAAAAAGTATGAAAAAGTCAAATATGTGCTCCAAATTCTGCTTATTTTATTTAAATTTAAAAGGTTACAAGAATAATGTATTCTAAAGACAAGTTTAAGATGTACATTATGTAATAAATAAATTACATAATTTTATGTCATTTCATACTTTATTAAGCACAAATTACACCAATAAGAGGGTAAATTGCATAATAACAATTACAACAATATAATGGTGACATTACAATTACATAAAAAATAAAATTAGACTGTTTAATAAAGGATTCTAAAGATTTCACTTGCTGACTAGTAGTTGGATTAATAAAGGAGCCTAAAGATTTCACTTGTTGACTAGTAGTTGGATTAGTTACATAAGAATTACGGCTCATCTAAATGACGAACAAGTTTCGTTTTACCGCTTATAATGCAAAAATATGCATCAATCGAAAATATACAAAACAGACATAGCAACGTGATTAACGTTAAAATATTGTATAGAATGATTATTAAAACCACTAGAAGCCAATTGTTCTTTATTGAGATTTCCTATGTTTTTATTTTATTTATCGTTTAAAGTTTATATATTTAGACATAAGCATACACTTTGGGTGCAAATTACAACTTTTTTTAACACAATGGACTTCGGCGTCAGTAGTATCCTGCGTATGGCATATATTTTTCATATTAGAATTGTGTAGTAATGTCTCCAACTGATTAATATAGCTTCAGTAAAAGAGTTCATAAAAAGCGCTAAAAAGTTCAATATTTAATTTAGAATTTAATAAGAGACCTTATATTGTCGCTTTTGAAATTATTCATACTTTTCAAAATTCGGACGGTTTAGGGCTTGACGCATTTTATGTAATCGTCTATTGATGGAGACTGCGATATGTTGACCTCCGGGTTTCTCTGGGTGTGTGATGATGTGTTAATGTCTTATTTACAAAAATTATAACATTAACTGGCACTTGGCCAAACAAAGATGAGGCGATTTACTTTTTGTTGACGCTAGTTGTTTGAAAGATGAAATGTGTCAATGCTTCCAAAGTGTAACTCCAACTTAAATATAAAATCCATAGAATATTAACTTGATTGAGGATGACCAAATACACCTACAAATTAAGAAGAGCTATACGTTTGACTACAATGTATTCAGTTGTTTTTACGAGTTGTTGAAGGAAGGTACAGATGGACGGAAAACACTACATACATGTATTTGCTGGTATATGTATCATCAGTATGAGTGGAGAAGTATGAATATGCAGCCACAATGCTAATGGTTTGTAAAACACTGTTTGGTAGAAGGCATTCATCTACATTCTAACAAAATATAACGGTCAATAAAGTATAGCAAGTTTTAAAGGATCATGAAAAGACCATCTCACCATTTATGCCACATTTAACAGATTGTTGAGTCGTTGTTTTTCTGGGTGTTGTGGTTGTTGGTCTTGGTTTTGTTGTCGTCCTGGTAGTTGTTGTAGTTGCTTTGGTAGTTGTAGGGCGGGCTGTAAAAGGACCAAATGTAGGTCTTATTGGTGTTAGGGTTGTCGTCTTTGAAACAACGTCGTTAATTTTTGACAATAATGGAAATCTGCCATCACCACAATTATCAGCAAAGTCGTCCATTCCTAAATCATCAATCATTACTCCAAGCAATTTTTCTTGCAAAATGTACTCAATCTGGAATGAAATCATAATTTACAATAAGTTTTAATTTCATGAAATTATGGCGATTTTAATAATTTCATTTAAAAATTTACGATTTCACACTAAGCCTTATTTATCTATCATATATTCAACTTTTTATTATTTGAATTTCACTTCTGAATCTAAGAGGATTTTCATTCATTATACATGCAGAAAAGGTAGACTCGCATATTTGGCATTTTCACCATTAATCCATTATTCCTTGATAAGAAAGATTTTATATCATTTAATTCCCAGTTCGCACGTGGTATATGAACACATAAGAAGATACGTAAAACTAAATGAATAAAAAAAGAATCAGCTAAAAAAATGACAGCCGCAGAAACAAATGATGTACAAGTATATTTGACATTTTACCCTTACGAAAAATTACAAATAAAATCTTTACTATTGACATTAACTAATTTCTACCTTGTCCTTACAGACCGTAGAACAATTAGGCTCTAAATCTAGATCTCACCTGAATTAAGCAAGATTTCAAATATTTTGTTTAAAGATATTCTTTTGGTATCTTTCACCTCTCTTTTATTCCCTAATATGCGGATACCATAAAATAGAGAGGAAACGCAGAGAGGGGGTATTATCCGAATCACCCTCTTTTCTCATTTACCCTCATCTATTGTTTAAAACGATATCATATCTGACAGCTTAATTGCAAGTTATTCATTTGAAAATGAAATTTTAAAATTTTTAAATTTCAATCTAAGGAGCATTACTGATAAATAAAAATTTCACATTTTAGTTCATCTCATACTTCAGATACATCAAATTTATAATACATTAAAGAAAGTATTTTCTTTTTATTCTGTGATTTGGGATGTTTCTAAAATCTTTGAACAACCAAAATACTTTTAAAACAGGAAACAGTTATCCGTTCTTTTCCTATGTAATTACTTATCAATTATATAAAGCATTTTCTGTGAATCTAAATTTGCCAAACACTTAAAAAAAAACATTACGTGATCCGACATAAGAAGGACAACTTTTAATCTTGCTGTGATTTTCTAAGTATGATACATGCTAACGTTTTAAAAACAGCGTATCCTTCCTTAAGGTTAACACATAAAAAGTCCTTAATTTGTTTTTTTCTCTTCTTTTTAAATTATTAAAATATTTTATTAGTTAAAGAAATATGCACCACCTTCAAAGCTGAAGAGAAACACATAATTTATTACTTTCTAATAAAATATAAATTGGCAATGCTATGGGTAGTAGATAAATGGATTTTTTGGAAACTGGTCACTACTCTGGCACATGATCCGATTGGATCACCCGGAAAAATCACTTAACCGAAATTTAGAAAAGGAAATTCCGGCCTGTTTTTAAAACAACCGGTACTCAGAATCATAGGAAGGGAGAGGCCAAATAAAGCAGTTGTGTATTGCTAGAAAAGTATTCATACTGGATTAAAATAGGGACATGTTATTATTCATTAGAACGCAATTGATCATTCATTTTCGTCATATTTGGTGGGTTTTTTTAAACCAATGAATTATTTGTCATTCCTCTTATAAACTTTAAGCATTATTGTCGTTTTCAGGGCTTAAACTTTTATTGCAATTGTAATGACGCTTCTTGTTAACCTGTAATTGTACGACTCATTAAATTAAAGGCATTAGTAGCTATTGTCAGTCCTGATAAATACAGCAGTATTCATCTCAACGCTGGATGTAAAAATACGGTATCATTTCACAATACTCTCTGTTATGGTGTTACCTTAATAAAAGACAGTTTAATACTAAACATTTAGTCTTCAATTACTAGGTTACTTTGACATATATACTATAAAAATAAGTAGATGTGGTATGATTGCCATTGAGACAACTCTTCACCACAGACCAATGCAAATGACATAGAAGTTTACAACTATAGGTCACCGTACGGCCTTCAACAATGAGCAAAACCCATACCACATAATCAGCTATAGAAAGCCCAGAAATGAAAAATGTAAAACAATTCAAACGAGAAAACAAATGGCCTGATTTATGTACAAAACAGTGAACGCAAAACAAATATGATATACATCAATTTGAAAAGAAGACTTTTATGAAAAAAAAGTTATTTACAGAATTTCAAAGGGGGGAAACGTACAATTTCACAGGCCTTACCTTTCGTTGTACGCTGCTCATATCATCATACCCAACCCACTGATTAGAATAATATGAATGAGGTACGCCTTGTGTGGTGTCCATAACTCGAGTCCAGTAGCTACCAATATTCTTGCAAACCTAAGAAAAAAATATCTTTAGCTACCAGTATAAAAAAATCTGAAATGACAAGTTATGTGTAGGATAATAATAATGATTTTTATGATGTGGAATTACACACTCTACGTGCGTGCTAGTGTGTGTGATTGTGTATTTTTTAAAACAATTTCATGTTATAAACTAACGGCAACTTATCAATTCTACAAAGCAAAAGTGTTCGAAATCCTCTTTGCAGTAGTTTAAGGTTGTATTGTAAAGATTGTATCTTACATTAAAACTAAACATAAACTGAATCTTTTGTAAACAAGTTCAAGTAGCGGATAATTACTTCATAATAGGCCAGTTTTTCCTTCCTGGTGGCTCCACTGTCCCTCCTTTCCTAGTCCAAATGCAGTAGCTCCTACAATGTGTGTTCCCGGTAAAGTTTCGTATGTATTACCATGAGCAGGTATTCCAACTACCAGTTTTTTTCTAGGTAAACCAGCATTTAGCCACACTTTTATGGATGTTTTCTGCCAAAAATGTTAATCATTGTTATGAGCAATGTCGCATTATTTGCATACTCTTGGGTAAAAATATACTACGCACTATTAACATGCTAATTTCCCATAACGCCTGAAAATTATTTTATTCTGTTACAAAGATGTAAATGAGGTTTGGTTTACGTTAAATATAGACTTGATTGTAATAGTATTCATTATTCTTGGGGTTTTTTACGCTACTAGTTCTGAAATAATTTATTCTGAAACGATCATACAACATGAACAAAATCAAACTTTACATAACATGAAACATAAAAAGAAATTAAGTGATACGGTCATACCATTCCATGACAAAAACAGCGCACGACAATTTAAATTAAAACCTACCACATTCAAATTCTTTGTGAATGAATGTGAATTATCAGCATCGAGTGCACTTCCATGAACAATAGTATATTTATAGTCTCTATTAAAGTTGAATGATGCAAGATTGACGAAGTTCAGATATCTGAAAAAAAATATTATAGACATGTAAACTAGATGTGACATACACTATGCTATAGAAATTAGAACTAGCTTTTCGTCTACAAAAGACTCATCAGTAACGCGCGAATCAAAAAAGTTTAAAAGGCCAAATAAAGTACGAAGTTGAAGAGCATTGCGTGTCTTAACAATATGTCAAGCTCTAAATACCATCGACGGTTATGTTTCCTACGTACGTGATATTGTAATGGACGTTGCTATATACTACCTCTATACGTTACAAGTGAATTAAAGCAAAAACTACTTACTGACTCAAAGAAGCAATGTCGTATCTTGAAGTAGTATCAACTTAAAACGGTGGTACACGTGCTGATTTAATCAAGGGACGACGACTCATGATGTTTCCATCAAAGTCAAATAACTGGCGTATTGACTTAAAAAAGAAAATATTCCATTAGAATCACATAAAAAAATTTTTGGTAAAGTAACAATACTACATTATAAAATGCATAATACCTCACTAGGCACTCTCGGTAACGTGAGTCTGGTAAGTCAAATATAAACAAAAATAAGCATACCAAATTTGTAATGGTATTATATTAGGTCAAATGATGTTCCTTTCAAATTTATCATTTTCCCCAAGGAAAACATAATTTAAAAAGGGACCCGTGAGCTTGAAAAATCAAATAAACACGTTTTTCTCGAAACTGACAAACATTCGTCTTTTTTATTCCGTTCAATATATAGCGTACCTGTCAAACATCAATATTTTTCTTTTATGGAGAAGACTTTACAATTTTTACACTACATTGTGTATGTCTAGCTATCTTAATTTTGGCAATAAACCTATCAATATAATTAAAAATGTTTTAGGTTATATTTAAAATGATTAAATGACAACTTTGAGGACATAAATAATAAACATTCAAACTTGACAAAGCTTCACCATGAATTTTTTTTTTTTACACTTTTCATCATGATAAGTAATGGTTGCTTCTCCAATTTAATTTTGTGCCATACACTTTAAGGCCAATATAAGACCAAAGTGACCATTGTAAACCAAGGTCAATAATAATGATAGCATAAAGGAGAAAGTGTGTAAAACATACATAACGAAAGCATAAAAAAACTTAACTTTGATTTTCGACTAAAGAGTAATTCAAATAGTATAAACTTTGTCATACATTAAAGACAACTTTCAAAAATATAAAATTTCTATTTAACTGATATGACGTTTTTTGAATGATGTAGCTAACTTAAATAAATCTCAAAATGCATGCACATATGTGTGATCATATTGAGCGGACGGCCGAAATCAGTTATTGTTCTAGTTTTTTGGAGGGCATTGTGTAAGATAAAAAAAAAGGCAATAGTAGTTTACCGCTGTTCAAAAGTCATAAAGCGATTGAGAGAAAAAAATCCGGGTTACAAACTAAAACCGAGGGAAACACATCAACTATGAGAGAAAAACAACGGAAAACAGAAATACTGAAGTGCAACATACTCATATTTTTTTGTTATATCCTAACTAGACGATGGAGAGTTGTCTCATTGGCACTCATACCACATCTTCTTATATCTATTAAGGTTGTTTATACATTTAAAAGGACCTCTGGTTTTTTTTTAGGATTTTGCTAACCAAACAGGTGTATTCATATACAAGTGCGAGTGTTTTCCCTTTTGGCTGAATGGGTCTGCCATTTCAGATTTTATTCCTAGAAGAATCTTTATATCAGATTTAAGCTGCCGTAGTCTGGTAACTTCCGCATACTGACCTTAAATTTAAGAAAATCTATTGAAATTCAACTAAAAAAAATCTGAAATATCACTTAAATCCCAATTGGTACTTTAACCACATGCATATTAGGATAATCATGATCCTGAATCTGAAGCAAATAAGTAACGCAAAAAAATTTCAAAATTCATTTGATGCATATCCATTTCGGAATTTTATTTACTCCAAACGTCGAATTGCAATGAAACCCAAATTAACCCCAAATTACCAAGAAGAACATTTTGCTGCTTGCCTATCACAGAAGTTAATAATTTTCCTTGAAATTGTGCAAACATCTGGAAGGTGGTGGCATTTAACCGCATACAACAAACTTGCAAATTGGTAAAGTGAAACAAGTTGCTTTGTATGAACAATACCTTTGTAAGGTGAGAAACCCTTTATAAATCTGATCGAGGCTGAATTTCAAATTGCAATTTGCGACATAATATTCTAAATATTTCACCACGAAATTGGAAATAATCTGTGTTTAGGTGTCTTTATGGAATTTCCGTTGTGTAATTTCTAATTGTTCTGCTCATCGAAACTTTACTTGATATGCATTTGGCAAAAGGCGCATGATACTTAATCCTCTCGGTTAAATGTGATAATAATACAGATTATTTTATAAAAGACTATGGTTAGATGATTGGGTTGTTACTTACCACTATTTCCTAGATCATTAATTTCTGTAGGCATGATTTCAGTCCCTACTATTTTAGCATATTTAAAGATGATATGAGTACACAGGTTAACATCTATTTGCGTTGCAGTAAAAGTATACTGACTTTTGACATATTGTGCCTGGTTGTCGAAGTAACATACTCTGTGAAAACCTGTAAAACCACATATCATTGAATTAGTTTAAAGATGTTAATTTGATGAAATTTACTACAGTCTATCTAGTTAAACTTCAGAATTTCAAGAACTATTACATTACACTCGGTCATATATTTAAGTTATGTTTTGAACTAACATTTGAGTGTCTAGTAAACAAAGTAAAATTTGTACATTTTTTTCTAATGCATTTTACATTTTTCCGCAAAATTACAATTCATCAAAACATAATAATTCTATTGACCCTTTGCGTAAAGAGGGACAATCCAAATGTCTAAGAGAAGAGAAAATAAATCTCGTCTAGGCATAGCGTAACTATTTCAGCACACGAAAGAACCAATGAAACAGCTCTATGAAAGTTACTATCTCGCATATCCTAATTTCTAGCTTCCGTATTAATTTCCCTCCCTCATCTCGAGTGATCGCATTGCAAATATATGCATGACATATTTGCTACTGGACGTTAATCTAACAACCACGACTATTTGTCAAGTCGGTTCATCCATTCCCAATTATGAAATTATAAAAAGTATGGTTTTTGTTGAAGAACCCAACAGTGTCTATTTCTTTCGAATATTCAATAATCTATTTATAGTTCTTAACTTCAAAATATATATATTTTATTTTGTGTTCTGTCGGTGTCCATGTGATTATTTTATATTATTAAAACGAAAATGTATGTATCAACAACATATGATATATAAGAAAAATCTATGGATTTAAAATTGGGGATTTTATGATTTTAATAAAAATTTAAGAGCGTTTTCGCCGCTTTCTATACAAATGTTCATCTATTATGAAAGAATTCAATCAGTAATATTTTAGAAAATAAAAGAGATAAATGCATTATTTTTTTTCGATTTTTAGTTATAGTTCAACGAACCAAAGTTGTATGCAAAATGTTACCAAAATCTGTGACATAGCCCATTTACTGTAACTTGACCTTTAATGGGCATTAGCTACGAGATATGAAAAAAATTAGAATATGATTTTTTTTGTTCAATCATTAATAAAAGTGATATAATGAAATAATAACTCGCTTTTAGCAGACTATTTGGTTCAATTTTGTCAAATAACCAAAGAAACATCGCTGATGAATTATTCAACTGACCTTCAATTCAACTCATTAGCTAGAGATTGGTTACGCATTATTAGTCGTGTTCAGCCATTAAAAGGAAAATAATGTCAACATTGAAGCAAAGGTGAACCATTTCGTTGACATATTCGATCCCTAAAAAGTCATTCTTATACAGGTAAAAACGATGATTAACTTATTTTTTCAACGTATAAAATGAAATCAAACAGAGTTAGAAAAGTCCAATTGCACGAGGTCGCTATCTATTTATGTCTATATTTATGTTTATATCGGGTTATGTCGGAGGTCATCTCGATGGTTAATAAGATGGCGTCTAGACTAAAATACTCACGAAATGCTGATATATATATAT